AAAAAAAAAAAAAAAAAACCGGGCAAAGAACATGAACAGTCACTTTTCAAAAGATGACATACATGCGGCTAATAATCATGTGAAAAAGTGCCTCAAAATCACTGAGCATTAGAGAAATGCAAATCAAAACCACAGTGAGATACCATGTCACACTAGCCAGAATGACTACTATGAAAAAGTCAAAAAAAACAGATGCTGGTGAGGTTGGGGAGAAAAAGGAATGCTTATACACTGTTGATGGAAATGTAAATTAGTTGAAATATTGTGGAAGACAGTGTGGCAATTTCTCAAAGACCTAAAAACAGAAATTTGACCCAAGAATTCCGTTACTGGGTATATACCCAAAGGGATATAAAATTTGTACTATTATAAAGACACATGCACACATATGTTCATTGCAGCACTATTTACAATAGCAAAGAAATGGAATCAGCTTAAATGCCCATCAGTGATAGATTGGATAAAAAAAAATGTGGTACACACCACATTTGTGAAATAGTATGCAGCCATAAAAAAAATGAGATCATATCATTTACAGGGTTCTGAATGGACTTGGAGGCCATTATCCTTAGCAAAGTAACACAGGAACAGAAAACCAAATATTGCCTTTGTGAGCTAAATGATGAGAACACATGGGCACATAGAGGGGAAAAATATGCACTGGGCCTTTCAGAGGGTGGAGGGTGGGAGGAGTGACTGGATAAGGACAAATAACTAATGGGTACTAGGCTTAATACCTGGGTGATGAAATAATCTGCAACAAACACCCATGACACAAATTTGTCTACATAGCAAGCCTACACATGTTCCCCTGAACTTAATATAAAAGCTAAAAAAATAATGGTTGATAAATTAGAGCTCATTGCATGTTTGGACTAAACAGCATTACCAAAACAGTAGTTGCAATGCTCACAGCTCCTCCATGAGGGAGGGAAGCCTGCAAATTTGCACTATACAGAGAAGGAAGCTATTAAGTGGCAGGGCCAATGTGGCACAGTGGGTTTGATTTTTAACCAGCACACATGATTGCCTCTTGAGGTTTTAGATCAGGTTATTGAAATATAGCTAGCATAGTCATGAAATAGAAGGGTACATTAAATAGAAAGTGGGGTAGTAGGTAAAGTATTTCTGTAGCTCTGCATAAGTCAGATCAATTGTCTTGGCCTTAGTTTACTCAACTGTTAGAGTCTAGTGAAGCCCACTTCCAGCTATAAAAATCAAGTTTTTTGCCATGTCGATGGAATGCAACAGGTAAGAACAAAGGAATAACAACTATGTAAAAAAAAAAAAATTCGGCAAAGGGCTCTCTCTTTCTGTCTTGTATGTGTGGATGTGTGTTGCCAGGCATCCTCTAATGGAAATATGAGGTAGCTCTAGGGACAAATAAATTACAGGAAAGAGAAAATACATGAGAGTGAGGGTCATATACAGATGTTGAAATTGGTCGCTTTGTATATGGTATTGGTGTGAAAATGACCAGCCCATTAATCAGGTAGGATCAGGTGGCATAAAGAAAGCGTGGGTTGTCTTGGTAAATGCCTGATCTTTCTTCTCTTCCTCTATCCTCTTCTACCCTATTTTGATGGACATATTCAGCACTTTTTGATCTATAACAATTAAAAGGGAGCTTCTGCTGATGGAAGCTTGTCAGGCCTTTGAAGCTGACACCAGGACCAGAGGGAGAGCTGCATCTGCCATGGGAGTCTGGGCTGTGAGGAGATGAGAGGGGCTTGCCCTTCCAAGGGGAGATCACCTTTGGCAGGAGTAAGTGCTTTCACTCAGAGGTAGCCCTGCTAGTGAGATGAGAGCAGCGTGCACTAAGTTAGCAGATTCAAAGGAGTGAGCTGGCAAACAGAATCACATCACATCTGCCAGAGAAAGTGATCAAAAGCAACAGGACCCAGGCAGCTGGCAAAAAGGTGACCCCTGGACACTCGGCTGTTTCAAAAACACAGCTGATCCTAAAGATTGAGAGAAAGTGAATGAATGTGCTCACTATAAATCTCTGCCAACTTAAATAATACATCTCTCCTTCCTTCCCTTTTTCTCTTTCTTCAGTTTTTAAAAATCCATCCGATCTAGTTTACTACTGACATGGTTTAGCTGCGTCCCCACCTGAACGCATCTTGAATTGTGACTCCCACAATTCCCACATGTTGTGAGAGGAACCTGGTGGGAGGTGACTGAGTCATTGGGTGGGTCTTTCTCCTGCGGGTCTCATGATAGTGAGTAAGTCTCACGAGATCTGATGGGAGTTTCCCTGCAGAAGCTTTCTTCTCTCGTCTGTTGCCATGTGAGACCTGCTTTTCACTTTCCTCCATGATTGTGAGGCCTCCTCAGCCACGTGGAACGGTAAGTCCAATAAACCAGTTTCTTTGGCAAATTGCCCAGTCTCGGGTATGTCTTTATCAGCAGTGTGAAAACAGACTAATATAAATCTTTACAGATTATGAAGAAATAATGTTTTGTGCAAGGTGTGTACTTTTGGATTTTGGGTGTTGATTGGACCCCATTGATTTCTTGGGAACACTCTGCCCCTGCTAATCTGAATGCTTCTGCAAGCAGTAGACTACACTTGATTGTCTTTTGCCTCCCATCAGTGGAGAGCCAGATGTTTAAATGAAATGCAAAACTGCTTCATTTCAAATTCAAAACCAGTGCATTTTGCTAAAAGCCATGCCTGAAGAGGCAAAAAAGTAGTGTATATATTTCTATATATGAGAAGATATATTTTGATCACCTGATTTAGGGTTCTTTGGCCACAATCTTTGTTTTCTCTTTCATTTAGCTTGCAACTTTATGAAGAGAAGAGGTCACTTTCTCTTGAAGGTAATTTAGTTTTCCATTTCCTTTATAATCAGATGGTAACTGCTTCAGATGTGCTCTCAGCAGAAAAACATTGAACATTTTTAAATAAATACATTTACTAAATGTTTGCTAAAAACATATCTAATGTCCTAGAAAACCAATTCACAGTTCCATTGCAGATCATCAAGGAAACTGAGGCCCCAAATGGTCATAGGATGTGCCTCATGTCATCCAGTTTATTAATGGCAGAGACAGTTCTCGAATTACTTATCCTTGACTCCCACCCTTGTACTCTTTTTAACCTGCTGTACCACCTCCCTCTGCAAGTAAAAATCTATTATCCAGTGAGACTCTATCAATGGTTATTACATTCTTGTTATTCAAAGTGTGTTCTGGGAACTGGCATCATGGACAACCCCTGACAGCATGTTAAAATGCTGAATCTGAGACCCCTACCTCGGACTCATGGAATCCAAATCTGCATTTTTAATTCAGTTCCCAGAAGATTCATGTGCAGATTGAATTGTCTGATGAACCTAAGAACCTAAGTTCTCAGGCGAAACATTTTAATTGATAAATATATTTCATTAGATTTTATAGGATTGTAAACCTAATATTGTGCATGCTTTTATTTTAACTGATAAGGCTGTTACTTATTCTTTAATTTAGCTTGTTAAATGATAAAAGTTTAGCACCATCCATTTACTTAAGTGCAAAACTAAGAAGGATCTCTAATGTTATGCTGACTATTGGATGCAGTAAGACTTTTTGGCACTGACATGCAAGGCGTTTCTTAATTTGGTGTATAATAGGGGGCTGTGATGGTGTAAACAGATTTTTAAAAGTGAAATGGACAGTTGTTAAACGGGGCTCTCCTTTTTCACTGAGAAATGCACAATGCATTACAGACTCAATCTTAAAACATTCTTTGTATAAGAATGTTTTATGCAAACATAAATTGAAGGCAGGACATTTTCTTGTTCTCTTCCTTATAGGTGAATTCTCATACCAGTGCTAGGGACAGGTCTGCCATCAAAAACTTAAACTATTTGATTCCTACTTTGGAGTGGAGGAGAGAGGTTGCCTTTGCACACGTAATTTTGATTGATCTCTTATTTTCCCCTCCTCTCCATCTGTATAGTCTGTGTGTTGTCCTCTTATGTCTCACTGGTGCAGAAATTTATTAAAGAGCCTTGTTCTTCCAAATCATTTTCTGTAATGCCAGTAGAAATGCCTTTAAAAAACAAAACAAAACAAAATCTGAGAATCTGTTTAAAACTTCCAATGTCTTCTATTCTTATAAGATTAAGTAGGAATTTCTTAATAGACCTACATCTTAATGTCCACCATGAGTTGACTCTGACCCAATTTACTCATGCAATGTGTTACCGGTACCTGTGCTCTGGATGAGAAAAAGAAATTCCTGCATTATAAAAGACATTAATGGAAAAAATGGAAGAAATCTGAATTTATTCTGTGACTTTGATCTGTGTATCACAAGAAGTATTGCATCAATGTTAAGTAATTTTACCAATTTTATTAATTGTAATATTTATGTAAAAGAACATCTTTCATTTTAGAAAATTATACTCTAGTGTTTAGAGTGTAATTCTGTTGCAGCTTTCTCTTTAGAAAGTATTATACATATATGGCCAGGCGGGGTGGCTCACGCCTATGATCCCAGCACTTTGGGAGGCTGAGGCAGGTGGATCACGAGGTTAAGAGATCGAGACCATCCTGGTCAACATGGTGAAACCCCATCTCTACTAAAAATAGAAAAATTAGCTGGGCGTGGTGGTGCACGCCTGTAGTCTCAGCTACTTGGGAGGCTGAGGCAGGAGAATTGCTTGAACCCAGGAAGCAGAGGTTGCATTGAGCCGAGATCGCGCCATTGCACTCCAGCCTGAGTAACAAGAGCGAAACTCCATCTCAAAAAAAAAAAGGAAGTATTATACATATATATTCACGTACACATGTATACATACGTATGCAGAGAGAAGGAGTGATATGAGACAGTAAGAGAGAGCATGCATGGGATTGCTGAACATATGCAGTAAAATGTTAGCATTCAGGAATTTAAGACTTTTTAGTATTTCTTTGTGCTGTTACTGCAACTATTCTGGGTCTAAAATTTCAAAATAAAAAGTGGATAGTATTCCATGGAGTATATGTGCCACAACAATGAGAACACATGGACATAGGGAGGGGAACATCACACACTGAGGCCTGTCGGGGGGTGAAGGGACTAGGGGAGGGACAGCAGGGCATGGGGGGATTGGGGAGGTACAAATACCTAATGTACATGATGGGGAGACGGATGCAGCAAACCACCATGGCGTGGGTATACCTATGTAACAAACCTGCATGTTCTGCACATGTACCCCAGAACTCAAATATAAACAACAAAAAAAAGTGGAAAAGAAAATAAATTTTCTTTTATTTTTATTATTTATTCAGCCTGTCATGTGGATCATCCTGCTGCCATTACATTTCCGTTATAAGATAGTAATCCAGGAAATGCCTTCATGACTTATTTTTTAGTGGAATGAATCTTATGAAACAATAGGCATACTATGATTGAAGTTGTATACATTATGTACACATATCTATTTTAGTTTGGAAAATATGCTACAATGGTTAACATAAAAATGTTAAGGATAATTGTCCCTTGGCAGTGGGATTATGGGTGATTTTAACATACCTTTCCTTTTGTTTATCTGTTTTTCCAAAATTTATTCAAAGGATTGTTCTGTTAAAATTAGAAAACAATAAAATTATTGTGCAAATTCTTTGTTAAACTTTATTTCATCTTGTTTAGAAATTAAGATTATGAGTAATGTATTTTCATCTTACTTTGCAAAATTTTAGTGTCTATTTTAACATTGCTTAATCAGCAATTCAATGATTTCCATTGTATTTTGGTTTTCTTAGTTGACAGAGAAAAAGAATTGAAACAAACTATTGCTGTTTCCTCAAGCTTTAGTCAATAGTTGTCATCTACTTTAACACTTGAATTTTTACTGTAGCTGCTAGAAATGGGCAAACTGAGTGGCTTGGATGAATATATATACCTTTGTCATAAACCTGTAGGCAAAAGCATTAAGTGCCAAAGAGAACAGAAGTCAGGTACAGAGAGAACCTAAAGAGATAAATGCCCTATATGTTCTTTCTATTTAAAGGGAAAAAGTAGCTATATGTTTATTCAATGATGAATTCGTTGCCTAAATAATTGCATTTTGGCCATACCAAGACAGTCATTGCGAGTCAAAAGGTGATTTGTTAATTAGGAGTTTTCATCTAAATAAAAACAATGAAGAATAGAAAATTTTAAAAGGAAAGCTGGGCTCTTTTTTAGGGTTTTACTTTTTCCTCTTCCATCATCAGCTTTGGGAGAAAGACTCTATACTTTATATAATTAACAATACTTTTTTTCTTATTTTCCCTAGTTAAAAATAACAAACACTGAATCTAAATTAGAAACTTTGTAATTCCACTGCAAAAGAGAACAACTCATTTATGTTTTTCTTAAGTAAAACATACACACACACACACACACACACACACACACACACAAAACACCCTGCTACCTGAGAATCTGGATGAAATGTAACAGAGCTTGAATTAAAGTAAGAGCAATCTCCAGGAACACTGAGAAAGTGAAAACTAGAGTCTGCATATCTCAACTGCCATGAGATAACTGAAAACTATTGACCTGATTTTCCAAATGAGTCCTAGAGAGGGGAAGTGACTTACTCAAAATTTTATCTTTGTGAACCCCGTCTGAGCACTTATGCCATTTTTCAATAGAACCTGAAGAAAATATTGGCAAATAACAATGAGGGATTCCTGCATTACAGTTAGTAAAACTTACTATAATGCTGCTATGATGGAAACAACAGTAGCAACTGGAGAGAGGAGACAGTGGAGATCAGACATGGTAACTTTGAGAGACCTGTTAAGCCCTCCAAGTGGGGATCTGATGTGGGCAAATCGACACATTACTCTGAAGTTTAGGAAAGAGGTTCCATATGGAGATTTGGAAGCATCAGTGTAGATATGGCACTGAAACCCACAAAACTGGACCAGATCGCTAGAGAGTGATGCCTCTTGAGAAAATAAGAGATCTATGGATGAATCTTGAGGCAGTCTGCAGTTCAGAACTTGGGAATATAAGGAGGAACTGGAATCCAGACTGAGAATGAGTGACCCATTGTAAAGGAAGAAAACCAGGAGAAGACAGTGTTCTGGCAGCCGTAGGAACAGGAAAGAAGGCAGAAAATCTGAACATAGTTGTTGGTAGGAGGGTTGTTGTGAAAGTTCCTTATGATTACTAACTTACTAATGAAAAGGAAAATTATTGAGTAAGAATGATGGTGGAGAAAGACAAGGTGGAAAATAGTTTCTGAAACATTGATTTAAAAAGACAAAGTGAAACAAATGAACCTGGAAACACTTGAATATGTGTGTGTATGTATGTTTACGACATAATTTATTCTACATAGTATCCTATATATTAGTTATATGTGTTTTATATATCATAGAAAATAATATAAAAATAAATATCAGATTTTCCCAGAGAAAGTGGAGAAGGGAGAAACCTAGTTTTATTTTATAAACAACTGTATTTCCTTTAGAATTGTTATAACAAACACATTTTACTTTTGAGTAAAGGTAAGAAAAAATACCTGGTCTTGCGGACCTTTGTTAAGGAAGTAATAAATCTGATGCAAACGTAACAGTAACCTTTGTGAGACTGACTACAAGGTGGCTAAGCAGATTCCCAGGTCCTTGGAAGACATTTGGGTCTTACCCAATGAAGGCCCTCTGTACTGTGAGGGATGGTCTGCCCTATCTTAGTCAACTTGTGCTGCTATAACCAAGTACCTTGCATGGACTGAGTAGCTTTTAATAACAGAAATTTATTTCTCACAGTTCTGGAGGCTAGAATGCCAAGGTCAAGGTGCCAGCGCTGTGGAGTTCTGGCGAGGGCCCTCTTCCCACTGTAGACTGTTGATTTCTCATTGTAGGCTCACATGGCAGAAAGAGGGTGAGAGGGTTCCTTTTGTAAGGGCACTAATCCTACTTAACAGGGCTCCACCCTCATGACCTAATTATTCTTAAAGTCCCCACCTCTAAATATATCACTTTGGAACTAGGATTTTAACATATGAATTTTGAGGGACACAAACATTCAGCCCTCTGTGTATGCCTTGTAGAGCCATTTCATCTTTGGATGTCTCACTGTGGGAATAATAGGGTTTTGGGGTAGCTGTAAGATTTTGTTGTTCTTGTTTGTTTTTGTAGTGAAAACCTCTAACATCAGGTACCTGACACTGAGATAAATATTCAGACATATGGTGTTTTTTTTAACATGAAGTCAACAATTCCCAAGAAGCTGGCCAAATTCCCCTAGAAACTTTCTCTGTTTCATTATTATTAACTTCTGAAGCCTCGGAGTTGGTATACAGAGGGCTTTTCACCTGTCCTAGAGAAGTACTAGAACAAGTTTCTAGAGGTCTCAGAATTAAGGGTCTCTGAATGTGGCCAGAACACAATCTATAACTGCAGGTTTATGCCTAATTCTTGATAGCATTAACTTCACCGAGAGTTGATCTGTGAATCTTTGTGCTAACCTTGAGATCTTCACAGTCATATATAAACTCAATAGGAATATTGCTAATGACTGCTGGGTTTTGTTCTAAGCTGAAGCCATGTGATAGACCCTACTTTCTCCAGAAAAGCTAGAGAAATCTTTGGGATCTCTGTCTTGGTTTTCAGTGCTTCCAGGGGCAGTTAGGGCTATACTCTCCCTGAGATTTTTTTCCATGAGAAGATGAAGTAAAAGATTTCTGGGGGCAATCAGCTCTAGGGGGCAGCCTGGACACCGTCTCTGAACCTGGAAGTAGCTCAGGTGCTGATTCTGCCTCCAGGGTGCACACACCCTCACGTGATGGAGGAGGAAACTCATGAGGTTTCTGGATAACCTGGCCTTCAGAGAAGGACCTAGGGTTAATCACTGAGTGTTCCTATACCTACTGTGAGCTACAGAAACAATTCTGGCTCCATCAGAATTCACAAATGATTTGGAATTTCTTAACTTTGGAGCCTTTCAGAGATGGCCTGATGTATTGCTAAGCAGCTGAACAAATTCTGGGTACATTGTGGATACCATAGCAAATTCTATAGCCCTAAATCTTTTTTTTAATTATTATTTTTTATTTTTATTTTTTTCAGACAGAGTCTGGCTCTTTTACCTGGCTGGAGTGCAGTGGTGCGATCTCAACTGACTACAACCTCTTCTTGTATGATTGATTCTCCTGCCTCAGCCTCCGAGTAAGTGGGATTATAGATACTTGCCACCACGCCCAGCTATTTTTGTGTGTGTGTTATTAGTAGGGATGGGGTTTCACCATATTGGCCAAGCTGATCTTGAACTCCTGACCTCAAGTGATCTGCCAGCTTCAGCCTCCCAAAGTGCTGGCATAACAGGTTTTGACTACTGCACCTGGCCTGATCCCTAAGTCTTCTTTTTGTTGCCTAGGATGGAGTGGCAGTGGCATGATCTCGGCTCAGGGCAATCTCTGCCTCCCAGATTCAAGCAATTCTCCTGCCTCAGCCTCCCATGTAGCTGGGATTACAGGCATGTGCCACCACGCCTGGCTAATTTTTGTATTTTTAGTAGAGATGGGGTTTCACCATGTTGGCCAGGATGGTCTCGATCTCTTGACTTTGTGATCTGCCCGCCTCAGCCTCCTTAAGTGCTGGGATTACAGGTGTAAGCCACTGCACCCGGCCCCTAAGTCCTCTTAATGCCAGGAATTATCTTAGGGTTTGGGGGCTTCAAGTGAAGGGAAATGCTCACAATTAAAGACACACTGGAATTTTCTTAAAGAAGGAAAGGCTCCTTCTATCAGCCACTGGACCTTTTGGGGAAACCATCAGTCCTGGAGATCCTATCTCCGAGAATAGTGTCTGTGTCCCTTCCTTCCATTGTGGTAGGAAGAAAGAGTTAAATCTAACCCTCTGAGGTCAGAAAAAACAGTTGGAATTGTGTGGATGAGGTTCTGAAAAGTTAGATTTCTGAAGCTAGAGACCAGCAAGATTAGATCTGTTCTAGAAGCCATTAGGAAGACCTAGGGTGAGGGTCTGAGGCCCTCTAGACTCTGTGGGAAGAGCATGAGAAAATCCCATTTCCAGGAATGAGATTAGTCCTGGAATGCCATTGCAATTCCATTGCTGGCCTGGCTCTCATTAAAGAACGGCTTTTGCTTCTGGGCATGGCTGGCTGTCTCTGGCAAATTTTCACAGGTTTTGGTCTATTTGAAAGAACAGCCCTAATACTTAGAAGATCTGTGGTGTTTAGGTAAATTATTTATGGCCTGAAATCTTGTGCATTCACTCTCCAAAGGAGTAATGCAATATGGATGAGGCCTGAGTTCTACCTCAATGCATAAACCATGCTTCTTACAGAGTGGTCCTCTCTGTGTGGAGTCTTTTGGCAGTCTCTGTGGTTTTTAAACTTTTATGACACAGACTTTGCTCAAGTTGAAGCAGGTGTCCATGTAATTTCATTTTAGTAGTAATGTTCTTGTGGAGTGGTTGTTTGATTCTCTTCTCTCATTGGGGCACTTCTGGGCTGAGTTTTTAGCAGAGGAACACTGGCTGTTATGATTATTTAAAATTTGAAAATAACACAGAGAGAAAATATTATTTTGATTTTGCTGAAGAAGAAATTTACAATATGATAAATTACTTTACCCAATGTGACCCAGCAGACAGTTGAGTCTGTTTACTAATGCAAATTTGACCTTGAGATATTTTTTTCCGTTACCCTAGAGGTTCTGAATCTTAAACATACGTCACAGTTACCTGGAGGCAAATTGATATTTGTAAAATATATCAATTTCTGGGTACCTCCTCAAAATTAATGACTCAGTAGATCTCTGAAATTTGCTTTACTAACAAGTATCCAATTGATGCTGAACGCTATATATAAAATGTTTGTGTTTCCCCCAAATTCATTTATTGAGTCCTAATGTTCATGTTTTTGGGAGATGACTAGATTATAAGGGTGAATCTCTCATAAATGTGCTTGTGACTTTATAATAAAGAGGTCCAACAGAGCTCCCTTTCTCTTTCCTCCATGTGAAGATATGGTGAGAAGCTGGCTATGAACCAGGAAGCAGACACTCACTAGACACCAAATTTGCCAGCTCCTTAATTTTGAACTTCTCATCCTTGAGAGCTGAGTGAAATAAGTTTCTGTTGTTTACAAGCCACTTAGCTTAGGTATTTTGTTACGGGGACCTAAAACTGAGGCTGCTGGTACAGGAACCATATTTTGAAAACCACTGGTCTAAACTATGCTGAGATCTTGAAAATGCTTATCTCCTGTAGTTCTGCTTTAGTTTATAATGCTTTTTAGCTTGTAGAATGCCATTAACATCTGTTATATGTAAGTAATCCAAGGAGAGTTTCAGGTCATGTTAAATCATAATTCTCATTATTTGGACTTTCTACTTTGCAAGAAAGACTTTAGCTCCAAAGGAGTGTATGTAACTTGATAATTTGGTTTTATTTCCTTGTGAATATAGGACAAAAATCTTGCTTGGGTCTGGCTGAAATTATTTATCCTCTGACATATGTAGTAAAACTTATTTTTCCCTTGAAACATTAGAACTTAAACCCTGAGTATACCATTTTTGTTTGAGAATACTGATGACCACATTTCCCAGCTTTCTGATGATTCTGACTGCTTGGTACTGACTCTTGTTGAACATCTGTGGGATCAAGCCTGAGGCTACACCTCCATGAGCATGTATTTATTTGCCTGTCAAGTCAGAGTATTGCTTCTGTGTGGATCAAGATAGATAAGAGATGTGGAAAGGATTTGTACATTCTTCTAAAGATATGAAATGATATTATTGTATTTGATAAAAAAAAAAAAACAACAACAGAAAGAGCAGAGCCCAAACTATTTTCCTGGAATAATCTGCCTCTAAATATATCAATATAAAGAACTAATTTATCTGCCTACACACTTGTAGATGAGTAGGGAAGTTCAGTTTATTTCTAACATCTGTAGGATTTACATGTCTCCCTATTTAAGAGGTCCTTGGCTACTTTTTTTTTGGAGATGGAGCTTCACTTTTGTTGCCCAGGCTAGAGTGTGCAATGGCATGATCTCAGCTCACCACAATATCTGCCTCCCAGGTTCAAGCGATTCTCCTGCCTCAGCCTCCCAAGTAGCTGGGATTACAGGCACTCATCACCATGCTTGGCTAATTTTGTATTTTTAGTAGAGATGGAGTTTCTCCATGTTGGTCAGGCTGGTCTCAAACTCCCGACCTCAGGTGATCTACCCGCCTCAGCCTCTCAAAATGCTGAGATTACAGGCGTGAGCCACTGCGCCTGGCTAAGTCCTTGGCTACTTTTAATTGGCTATATGTTGTTTGTGTCAGCAGTATTCAGTGAGGTTTCATTGTGACTGTGATTATTGGAATCCTTAGAACAACTGTGTTACAACTCACTTGTCAATGGCTTATGCTGGGAGTTGCCATAAAATTGTGGCCCAAGTATACCTTAATGGGTGGCCAAATAGAGATATTTATTTTCTTTATTCTAAGAGAAATGTAAGCACCATGTTGGTTTCTGGAACTAAAATATTTAACATTTAAAATAACATTGCCTTTATTCTCAAGGGTACATTAAAATGCTGGTGTTCAGTTTTCATTTAGTTATTCACTTGACTGAGAATGCAAGTAGCTGAAAGGGACCAAAATATCTGAGGTGCCTTTTTGAGAGGAATTAGACATTGGTTGCTAATGGAGAAAACTTCTGAACTCCAAAACTCATTATATATTCTGTATTTTTTTGCAGAAAATACCTAAATTACCCATGAAACTTTTATGAACAAGGCAATTTTTGAAGCTGAAAAGCCTAAAATAATGTCAAAGCTCTCAAAGTGAAGAAGATAAAATCGTTCTTCATCTTTACCTCCTTCCCCCCACCCTACCTGCCACCCTTTTGGCCTACTGTTTAGTGGAAAGCTCTCTTATAAAATTACCCTCCTCTAACTTCCTTGTCTCAGAGTGATTGACGTCTGGACAATTTTGTTTTGCTTTGGGTAACTTCAGAGAATACATTTTTGCTCACTGGATTCAGTATTGTGTCTGTACTCTTTTTTGGTTTCAAAGGGTGAGACACTGTCTTTGGCTTTCTCTGAATCTTCTCTTCATCCTTATTTTGTGGTTATTGTAGAAGATGCCAAAGCATCAGATTAGCATTCATTTGGAAATCATTTCTAGTGTAAGTCAGAGTCCTGATGGGAACATGGAAACCATGTTAGGAATTTAAAATAGAGTCGATTTGCTTTGGGATATTATGACACAGATACTGATGAGCTGAAAGAGCAGAAAGGTAATACTGGTGACCTAGAATAGTAGGTACAGGAAGAGCCTGCGATGAAGAAGAAACAGTGGAGACAGAGGAACTATGTGGCTGGTTTAGCAAATACAGAAAGAAGTTGAAGGCTTGACCAGGGGAAGCACAGCTCCAAAGGCAAGAAGTAAGGCAGGAAGAAGCTCCTTGTCCCTCTCCCCCATCTCCCACTGTTACTCTGTTATGCTGCCTGCTGGCAGAAATTCAGTTCCCAAACTGGGAATCATAGTTTGCTGTGTTTTGAGCCCCAGCATCACGGAGTATAGAATGAGTTTAGAGGTAAGAGAAACCAGATAATAAATCAGCACAATTTCAACAATTCTTGACACAAAGAATATAATTTCTTAGTATACTTTCTATTTATACACTATCAGTGCAGGCTCCTGCAATTAAATATATATATATATATATAATAAAGTTTCATCAAATGGCACTTTAAATTAATAATTTGTAACTCAATGCATTTTTATTCTATAATTTATTAGTTTCCATTTGTTTATCTTTGGTAGAAACTATTTTAAATTAGCATTTGATAATTAGTAAATGGGATTTTCACCTTCTGTGCTGATGTTAGAACTGAATCTCCACATAAGTTGCAACTTATCTAATAATCTAGCAAACATATTAAATCAATTTAAAAAGAACCAAGTATGTAACAAATTATTTTCCTCTAAAGAGAAAATAATTTGAGAACATATAAAGCAGAATTTTTAGAGAAGGGATTTAGAGCTCATGTAACCAATGAATCTTGTTTCTAAAGTTACTTCCACTTAATAGTCAATTCTTTCTTTACAAATCTGTAAAGGGCTGGACTGAGACAGTATTGAAAAAATACATTTAAATAAATTTAGAGATAAAATTACTATTGACGCATGTTTTATTAACCTAGTTTTCTTGAATTCTATGAATTGGAAAACTTTCAGATGGATTAATGAGTAAAACACACGCAAAGAGAAACAAGAATGGGCTAGATAGGGATGTTAACTCAGCTTGTTAAAAAGGGTTATAATTAGAATCTACAATAACAAAGGCAAGCATTGTCCTTTTTTGCCTAATATTCTTTGAGAAATACTCTGGCTATATTCTTACAGGAAAATAATTTGATTTCTTTAGTGGAAGAAATTACCAAAAGTTTATTACAGTGAGGTAGGAAGTGTGCATAGATTAACTTAACAAGCAGTTACAGTCCTTCTATAACAGAATAGAACTATGGCCTATCCTTTATATAGAAGAACCAAGAGAAACTACAAAGTGGGAAACCAGGAATGGGGCTTGAAAATTGACTTGCTTTCTGATCAGTGCCCCTTGTTAAGCACTCCCACTCACCCAAACCGTTCAACAGATGTTGAAACATCTGCTTTCCAAAATACTCATTTTTCTTTTATATTATTTGTTCCTGCTTTTCTGTTAGCATAAAATGCCCTCTTTTCCCTGCTTCCTCTTGAAATTCAGTCTATCTTTCAAGGCTCAGTTCAAATTCCATGAGTTTCATAAATCCCTCCCTCCGCCCTCAGTTGCTTCTAGGAGTAAAGAAGAAGCAACTGATCTGTTAGCTTCTTCTTTACTCCTAGAAGAATTTGCTCTATTATTTTCTACATCTCCTGCACAAATAGTTCCTTATTTCAGATAGTGGTCTCCTTTGGTAACACTACCATGGACTATTATGGATAAAAGCTTTATGTTCTTTGCCCTAGAACACCATACATATTTACACACAAATAAGTTTTCATGGGGTTTGCTAAGAAGAGGTAGAGAGTTTTATTTTATTTTATTTTATTTTTTTCCCCATTTATTTATTTTATTGCATTTTAGGTTTTGGGGTACATGTGAAGAATATGCAAAATTGTTGCATAGTAACACACGTGGCAGTGTGATTTGCTGCCTTCCTCCCCATCACCTACATCTGGGATTTCTCCCCTTGCTATCTCTCCCCAGCTTCCCACCCCCCACCGTCCCTCCCCTATTTCCCCCCAACTGACCCCAGTGTGTAGTGCTCCCCTCCCTGTGTCCACGTGTTCTCATTGTTCAACACCCGCCTATGAGTGAGAACATGCGGTGTTTGATCTGGTGGACTGTTTAAATATCTAATGTACAATTTTCTTGGCAATGAAATGCCTGATGTTTCCTTTTTTCTCTCCTTTTTCTTTCCTTTTCCTTCCACCATCTTTCCTCTTTATTCCCTTCCCTTCCCCTCCTTCCCTCCCTCCCTCCCTCCCTTTCCTTCTTTCCTTCTTTCCTTCCTTCCTTCCTTCGTTCCTCCCTTTTTCCCCTCCCACCTTCCCTCCCTCTTTCCTTTTTCTTTCCTCCTTTGTTCCTTCCTTTCTTTTCTCTTCTTTCTTTTCAGTTTATTTATCTTTTATTTAATGCTATTTTTTTTTAGTGAATCCAAAATTTGGAAACTTTTTTCTTAGAATAGAAGCATATTTTGATAAAGAAAATACAATTAGAAGCCAAAATTGATATGCTTTGAATAACTTTATTGGAAAAAAACTGTGTTACTCTATTTCTAATATTATGCCCTCAACAATATCACAGAATTAAGTAGTGGAAAGAACACTGGACTTGGTGTCTGAAAATATAAGATCAATTTCAGGATCTACCAGCTAATAATTATGTGAACTTCCAAATTAATGTAACATCCCTGAACTTCCTAACACTCTGTGAAATAAAAAAATAAAAATACTATAGGATTGTGGAGATTGTGTGAAATCTATATGAAAGCACTTTGTGAACTGTGTGTCACATAATGTAAGTTGTAGAAATTGTTTTCATTATCATTATGAATAAGAATAAGTAATTATAAGATTATATTTAAACATGAACAGCAGATATTTTCTAGAATATAAAACATTTCAGGAAAACAAGGAAGAGTACTTAGTGACCTGAGTCAGTAAAATTCATCTAAAATGCCTCAACTGTTGCTCATCATATAATACCTCATTTGAAATAATTAAAAGTGAGATCTAAAGTTAATTTGCATTGTCTGTATTGAATTAGCATTGGTGAAAAGAACAATGCAGTAGGAGTGGAAATGATCTTACTACAGACAATTCTATGCCACTTAAAAAATCATTTCTTGACCCAGATTCTGTGTGTCAGATATAGTATCTCTATATTACTGGGAGTAAAGAGCCCTAGAGTGGTAGAACTGGAAAAAAGCTTAGTTTTTCCAGATACTACTTTTTGTGGTTTAGTTTTCCTCAGAGTGATTAAGTGCTGGTTGGCCTTATCTAGCTTTAGGTTTGTACTTTATTAAGAGACCCTGATGCTTTAATGGCACATAAGTTGTATTTCCTGGGATTCTTCTTGTCAGGAGCTTAATGCTGAAAGCAGATGACATGTAAACTGCCCCTACAACACCCATTACACTCAAATAAAGTGATAGATTTGTTTTTAAATTTGTATATAAAGTGATAATAAAATAAATAGAATTGTCAAATAAAATAGTCAATCATGAGTGGGTACTACATAGAATCCCTGCTCCTCATTTTGGTTTTAAAAATCTAACTGAGGCTTTAAAGTTGCAGAGAAAATCCTAGAGGCCACAGTACTTTAAATTAAACCTATCATTTACAATGAAGGAATGACCATACTTAATTTTTAACGTTCCAACATTTTTTGACTTTCCATTTTTAAGCTGTACAATTTTATGCAAGCCGCTTTTACCCTATGAGTCTTAATTCCTTTTCTTTAATATATAAAGAGGTTGAAATATGTTATTTTTAATAATCCTGGAAGTCTCAAAGATGCATTTGATTATTTAAAATAATGGTTTACTATAAAATCCCTGGAAGATAACCTAGGAAATACCATTCTGGATGTGGGACCTGGCAAAGAAGTCATGACAAAGATGCCAAAAGCAATTGCAACAAAACTGAAAATTGACAAATGGTACCTAATTATACTAAAGAGCTTCTGCACAGCAAAAGAAACTGTCAACAGAGTAAACAGACAACCTACAGAAGGGGAGAAAATTTTGACAAACTATGTACTTGACAAAGGTTTAAAATTCAGAATCTCTAAGGAGCTTCAACAAATTTACAGGAAAGAAAACAACCACATTAAAAAGTGGGCAAAGGACATAAGCAGACACTTTTCAAAAGAAGACATATCAGCAGCTGACAGTCATATGAAAAAAAATCAATGTCACTGATAATTACAGAAATACCAATCAAAAGAACAATGAAATACCATCTCACAGCAGCCAGAATGAATATCACTAAAAAGAGAAAACAATAACAGATGCTGGAGAGGCTGTGACAAAGGGAAGACTTATCCAGTGCTCGTGGGGATAAAACCTAGTTCAGCCATGGTGGAAGGCAGTTTGGTGATTTCTCAAAGAACTTAAAACATTGCCATTCAACCCTGCAATACCATTACTAGCTATATGCCCAACGGAATATAAATCATTCTATCATAAAGACACATGCATGTGCATGTTCAATGCAGCATTATTCACAATACCAAAGACATGGAATCAACCTACCTGCCCATCAATGGTAAATAGAATGAAGAAGATGTGGTGCACAGATACCATGGAATACTATGCAGCCATGAAAAATGAGATCATGTCTTTTGCAGGAACATGGATAGAGCTGGAGGCCAGTATCTTTAGCAAACTAATTCAGGAAGAGAAAAATCAAATACTGCACATCCCCCCTCTATAAGTGGAAGTTAAACCTTAAGTTTATATGGACACAAAGAAGGGAACAATGGACACTGGGGCTTACTTGAATGTGGAGGGTGGGAGGAGAATGAGGATCAAAAGCCTACCTATTGGGTACTATGCTTATTACCTGAGTGACAAAATAATTTGTACATTAAACCCCTGCGACATACAATTTACCTATATAGCACAGCTGTGCATGTACCCCTGAATCTAAAATAAACGTTTTAAAAAGTAAAATAACATCTTAATGAGCTCTCTATATATCGTTTCTTTTAAAAATAATATTATTTAAAGAGAATTATACTCCCAAAGATATCAATAGAATACCTTTTCCTTACCTAAGACTTATTTGGCCTAGCATGTTCTAGTTACATGTGCCTAATTACAATAACAGTCTTTCTCCTTCACAGAATTACTTTAAATAATTTAGTTTGCCTGATGCTCTCTAACAGAGCATTTTGTATTTCTACAGAATGAGAAACATTGTGTGTTTGTGTGGGCACACATGTAAAATTAAGGACAAGGATGTTAGTGTCTACAATAAAAAGACCATCTTAAGAGATTTGTGATTTGTTTTCTGTTTCTACATCTCTCTATGCATCTATACAAGGTGAAACACTTTTAGGTTTAAATTAGATCACATGCATGCTTCATCACATTACTAACCACAAAAGAGTACTAGTAAGTACTGCTTGAGTTCATTCATTCGACATTGATAGACTACAAATATGTGCCAGACATTGCAAAAGACAATGTGGGTAGGAAGAAGAAAATATGCTCCACAACCTCAAGGAACATCGAACCTAGCTGTCTAGGGAACACATATTTGACTATATAAAATAATAAAATGATGTTGTAGCTGAGATTAGTTCGATGTGGTTGTATGAGAATACACAAACAGAGAATTTTCTCAGTCCCTTAAGAGAAAACAGGCACAGCTTCCTGGGTGATGTTCAAGCTGAGTCAAATGAGGAGGATGTGCAGAAGTGCAAATGTTTAAAAGAGCATATTTTTCCCCAGAAATTCATTCAAAACATTCATTTCAATCTGATTGAAATGTCAGTACTCAGTATATGCATTTCAGTATGACTAAAATGTGGGCTACAAGGCAAATTTCGTAAGATGAGGCTGTAGGAATCGGCAGTGACAGACTGTGGAGGGCCAAGCTCAGGAGTCGATATTTTATTCTGAAGATGGGGAATTCAATGGCCTGTTTTAAGCATGGGAGGAAATGGGAAATAGCTTGACTGGCTCTGCATTTTAGAAGGATCATCTTTTTATTTTTGTGGTGAAAATATTGAAGGCAATGAAGCCGGGGGCAGGGAGAGGAGCTAAGTTACTGATATAAGTGGCAGGGTTGGGAAGCATCAGGAGCTGTGCAGGTGAAGAGCATCTGACAGATCAAAGAGACCATCTGTGGGTAGCCTCATGAGGACTCAGTGATTTGTGAAAAACAAGGGAATGGGAAGAGTTGAGCATAATTTCTGTGTTCTGGGTTAGGAAAGGTGGTGGTTCCACTCATTGATAACGGAGGAGATATGGTAGTAAAGTACTGAGTGATTTTGTCACCCTGAAATAAGTAGACCGAAAAGCATAAAGGGCATTTAGCCATCAAGGTTAGAAACATAGATCTGTGCTTCATCAGTACAGTATATTTGAAATTATAAGAGTCGATGGTGCCACCCAGGGAAACAGAATACAATGAAATGAAAGGAAGAACAAAGATGGAACTCTGAGAAATACCTTCACTTAACTGAAAGAAATTGAATCGTGAAGGAGGTTGAAAAATGACCACAGATACTGATGGAAAAACAGGCAAGAATGATATTATAGAAGCCTTACAGGAGACAATTTCAATAAAATTTGGTCCAGATGTCTACATATTCATAAAGTAAAATCAAGGCTGACAAGTGTTCATTTTATTAGAAATAATGAAATAACTGCTCAACCTGTGAGAACAATTTCCCTAGAAAGATACAGTAATTTTACAGCTCTAGGGTGAGAGCAGAAAGAGAAGGAGAAAGTGTAGATTACCTATTTAAAAATTAGTTAAGGGGAAATCAGGACAATTAGTTGATGGCTGGGAGACCCCGAAATTACAGCTTTTTTTTTTTTTAAATGAAAGCGAGATTTATGTTTATTTCTATGTGACGGGAAAGAAAGTAGCAAAGGGAGCTGTTGAAAATACCAAAAGAAGAGGATCTTGTGAGGTCTCCAAGGAAGAAGAGAGTAAGATTTAAAGCACAGTTGGAAGGATTATGTGGGGACTTGATATAAGATAAACCTTATTGTGATACTGGAGAGAGATGATAAGAATGAGTGGAAATAGAGATATGTTTATTGATGGACAGAGATGGGTAAAAATCAGGGAACTGAGGGAACTTATTCCTTTACCTAACGTAGATGACGGGGCAATGGATGCAGCAAACCATCACCATGGCATGTGTATACCTATGTACCAAATCTGCACGATCTGCACCCCAGAACTTAAAGTGTAATAATAAAGAAAAAGAAAAATTTTCTTTGTAAATTAAAAAAATGATGAAATATCAATATGTCTGTGGATTTTAAAACTAATTTATTTGCACATATTTTTTCATGGTCTCTGTGGAATTAAAATGCTATGCTTAACACAGAAAATTATTTTCCCTAGCAAAAGTTGTGTAGCATAATATTCTGACACATTTTTTTTTCAATTTTTTTAAATTGCTGTAGATGTCAACGTTTGGTACTTTACCATGGTACATGTTTACATACAAACATGATGAGTGAATTACAACAAATAGTTTACAGGAGGTGAAGATATAGAGGTATCAAAAGTCTATGTATTTAAGGAAGTGAATGTATGATTAGCACAGCTTATTAAGAGACTGGAAGTTGAGCGTCTAGGGTGTTTCATAGTGTTGGGCTTCAAAAACATATTTTTGAAATTGTCTCCAAGATAGGTCACATGTCCCATTGAATTTTCTAGAACACAAGAATTTGTTAAATGTAAATCTTTAACATAGATCAGTTTCATAACCATATTTTGGCATTTTTAAAATTCTGCAACTGCAAACCTGAAAAAATAGAAATGGGCTTGACCTGTCTTATTCATTGAGATGCCCCATGCTTAGGCAGTGATAATAACTCATAGACATATTATCTAGAAATCTTCTATTTCAAGATCACATTTTTGAATAATTTTTTTTCCATTTAGGAGTATAATAGAAACAGAAGAAAGGCAAGATGTTTGTTAACAGAAATTGTTTTTTATTATATTTAATGACATGTCAGTTGTGTGGAAATTAAGACCTATTCATCGTGAAAATAGTTGACTTAAGTGAATCTACATAATAGAGGTGTCATACTAAATCAGTGATCAGAAATCACCCTGTATTATATATTTCTGGTTAGTTTATTGCTCATAGAAGCTGAAAAAGGAATATATTGTTTTCTTTTTTTTTCTTTTTCTTTTTTTTTTTTTTGAGACGGAGTTTCGCTCTTGTTACCCAGGCTGGAGTGCAATGGCGCGATCTCGGCTCACCGCAACCTCCGCCTCCTGGGTTCAGGCAATTCTCCTGCCTCAGCCTCCTGAGTAGCTAGGATTACAGGCACACACCAAAATGCCCAGCTAATTTTTTGTATTTTTAGTAGAGACGGGGTTTCACCATGCTGACCAGGATGGTCTTGATCTCTTGACCTCGTGATCCACCCACCTCGGCCTCCCAATATATATTTTTTTCTTTCTTAATTTTATTTTTAATTTACAAATAATAGTTGCATGTATTTATGGTGTTCAATGTGATGTTTTGATATATGTTTAAAATGTGAAATGATTAAATTCAGCTAATTAACAAAATTATCGCCGCAGTTATTACCATTCTTTTTTTTAAAAAAATATAAGCAGTAAAACTTTACTCATGTAGAATTCTACTCTTTAGACATCTTACAGAAAGCCCTACATAGAACTAGAAGAAAAAAAAAAAAAAAAATTCATTCTGAAAAACTTAAAATAGAAACATACAACTCACTTAGCTAGGGTTGCCAGGCAATTTCAATAAAGTATTATTATACTTTACATTAGGTATGAGACTATATGGTTTTTAAAGTTCATTTACCACCCGCCCATCTCATTTTATTTCGCTCTAAGATAAATGAGAATCACAATAAAAATATGCAGTGCTCACTTCCTATCTGGAACACTCAATTTGTTTTGTTTTTTAGTCCATACACTACCCACAAGTCTATACATTCTTTTCACACCAGCACTGAAACATTTTATATAATAATGGAACAGCAAGTTCTTTTTTGAAGAGGAATATTTTTATTCATCAAGAAAGGCTGTTCTTTCCAGAGATATGAACATCATGTTCAAAGCACCAACTCCAATCTAAAGGAAATGTGGAGGGAGCTATTTTCAAAGTGGCAACAGGAAGATTTGGATATTTCATAAAAATAAGGAGGTTACTCAAAATTACCCAAACCCCTAACACTCAGAGAATAGTATACTGAGCTATCAAAAGGCAACCCATGTTCAGATATCTGGGACCTCTCCTGTACATAAGTACATTACCCCAGAGAGGAATTTAATTGGTGCATTAAGAACAACCTGGTCCTGCTGCAAACCAAAGTTGCTTGAAATGGCCTTTCATTTAATTTTACCTCAGAAGGATTAAAAAACTCAGTAAAAGAAAATACGGATGCCAAATGAGCAGTGCTTTCTTTCTTCTTCTTCTTCCTTCTCCCTTCTTCCTTTTCTTCTTTCTTCATCCTTCCTTTTTTTTTTTTTTTTTTTTTTTTTTTTTAATATATATAAGGCTGCTAAATATTCCTTACCTTAAATGAGTTCCATAAAATAAAAAACAAGATGAAGAAAGATTCAGGGGGAGGGATAAAATAAATTTGTCTCTACTGAGTTGTTATTACACAGTGCTAATAAGAACAATTTTTGTCAAATACAATGCAGGAGACTTGACTGAATATTGGTTTAAACATATGAAAGACCTTTTTGAACAATTGGAGGCATTTGAACATGGGCTGGATGTTGGATGACATTATGGCAGTAGCGCTCAGCTTTTGAGATATGATAAGATTATCACAATTTCATAGGGGAATGTCTTTATTTTTAGGAGAGTATGCTGAAGTATTCAGGATAACACGATTTTTAAAAAATGATAAAACAAACAAAACCAACTAGACATTTAGCTATTTCATTGTTTCTAAGATGCCACTGATTGTCAGATTGATGATTATTGTTGATATAAACGAGAGAAAAATGCTGCCAGTAAAATGATAATGTTTTCATATAAATTTGCATTGTATTTTATACAGACTGGAAGAGCTTTATAAGTCATTTTTGACAGTTTGTAAAATTATATGTCCATTTTATGCATACCTTTAAAATGAACATAACTAATTGTTTACATTTTCTGGATCATGTTTGAACTCAGCCATCCACATCCCTACCATTTCTCATATCATCCTTTGTACCATTTGGAAAATTGATGTCACAGCATTATTTCAAATAATGCTTCACTCATTGATCTGGGACTTTCTTCCAAGCTGTGGATACCCATTTTGCAAGTTTTGAGGATGTTGCTTTTGATATTTGCATTCGAGCAGGCAATGACATTACAGCTGCCACCAGGCCACAGCAATTATAAGACACCATCAGTTTTAGACACATTCCAATTTTATTTTATTGTACTTTTTAATTGATATATATTTTTAATAGGGCACATGTGATATTTTGATATAGGAATTTATAATGCGTAATGATAAAATCAGGATAATTTTGACATATATCTCCTCTAACATTTATCTTTTTCTCTTTGTGTTGGGAAAATTACAATTCTTCTTTTGTATCTATTTTGAAATATACAGTAATTTTTTTTTTTTTTTTTTTTTTT